CCACGATAATCAAGAACCGTTTACCATAACCCACGTGCTCAGACAAATGCCTCAATCGTCGACAACAAACGTCAGGTGTCCACGAAAATTAACCCCAGAACGGGGAAACTCCGTGTTTCACACTGTCGTTTCCGATTCGTCATCTTTGTCATCATCGCAGTTTTACAGTTGGTAGACTCAGTGAATGAAGAAACTAAAATCAAAAAGCTTCCATGTTCGAGATCATTCAAGTGGATATAAAAAGAAAAAAAACTCCAAAAGGCACAAGTTTCAGGTTTTGCGCAAAATTTCGGCGAAGATTATGAGGGATTACAATAAATGCACAAAAAAGTTTAACCAATTGTTCGGGAAAAGTCTGAGTTACTGAGGTTTGGATCCTAATGTTCTCAAGGAAATTCAGACAGGGACTAAAGAACAAAATTCAACGAAGGGAGTTTCAATTCGTGATTCACAACGTTGAGCTGAGCCCCTCGTTCGTTCCGATGTACAGTACTGCACAACAAAAGAACAATGGCACACCTCACCTTCACAGCCGCGTTGTGAGCAACGCCGTACCCACGCAAACAATTCAAATGGGCCCGGTTCGGCACCCAACAGTCAGACCCAACATCACACGCTCCCGCTCCGATCCCAGCGGCTTCACTCATGCTTCGCCTTGCGTTCCGATCGCAACCCTTCAGCACGGCGTACCCGGCCCCGCAGCCATGCAACCTGGGCTTGAGAAATAATTAACTTCGCATCAAACAAACCATTACGGCACATTACCCAAACATGAAGAACAAAAAACGGACGATTCTTCCACAGAAATACAATTTCCTTGCGATCAATCAACTCTGCAGCAAATTAAAAAAAAAAAAAACTGCGAGAGCTCGAGGTGTGAATCCAACGTCAAGTAAAAATGCAATTGCCTTTGAATCACATTTTTACGACGTCACTTTTGGTTACTCATGCAAATAGCATAATTCTGGAAATTTTCCCGGACACAAGAGTCTTTTAAATCGCCAAATCTTGAAACTCAACGCTGCATATTTGCCCTGGAAAAAAATTTCGAACTCCTGGGCTGACAAATGATGCCTTCTGCAATACAGGTGGACTCTCTCTACCGCGATTTTCTCTGCGTAACAAATTTTTCGTTGGCCCTTCAAGGTTCTTCACCCATTTCATAGGGATTTTCCATATCGAAATTCTTTCTACAACGAATTTTCTTCCGGTCCCTTGCGTTTCGTTGTAGAGAGAGTCCACCCGTAGTAAAGTAATCATTTTCTGGCCGCTCAGAAATGTTGACACAATTTACATACTTGAAAAAAAAAAAAAAGAAAATAAATTCCCACTGGGTAACGAAATCAGAAGAAATCCCAAATCTTCTCAAGTATCCCAAGTTGCTGAGAATTGAATAAACGTACAAATTTTATGCGCTAGATTAAAACCTCGGTATAGATTGCTCACAATTTAAATTTGACTTCTAGTACAGTATTTTCACTATTTTGACATTTTCGAAGGAAGTTATACTTCATGAATGGATGATATTTCGCAAGAAATCCGTTACTAATTCCGCAAAAACGAAAAAAGAAATTCGCAACACAACTCACACTAAAATCAACGCGCCGCCTCGGCACGCCCCGGTTCTAGTCGCCCGCGAGATCAAGGAGAGGAAAATTGGCACTTTGAACATGCCATGCGATATTCAATAAAAGAAAGAACCATACATCTCGATGAAACGAACTGCAAAGCACAAGGGAACCGACGACACAAAATAATTCTCGATGAAGATGTACACTAGAATCTCTGACAACAACACATTGAATATTCAATTTTTCGCGAATTTTTCAACATCCCGTATGATTACCGGAAATTTATCACTGCTAAATTG